AGGGAGCTCGGCTTCGCCGAGTTTATCCGCGAGGCCTAACCTGAGGAGCGCCCCCCCCGAGCCGCGCCTTCTCTCGACTGCCCGCATAATTGTTCGGCCTCGCGCCGCGGACGACCCGCGCGCGTCGCTGGGACCCTCTCGGGGCGACCAGCGCGCGTCGCGGGGATTCCGCGCGGCGCTCTGCTCAGCGCCTCGCTCGCCCGTCGTCGCTCTGCCCAGCGGCCGGAGCCTTGCCCGCAATCAGCCGGCCGGCTAGCTCTCTGTGCTCCGCGCAGCGGACGACCTGCGCGCGTCGCTGGGACCCCTCCGCGGCGACCTGCGCGCGTCGCGGGGACTCCGCGCTGCTCTGCGCCCGCAGCTTTGGATTTTTGGAGCGCGCAGGCAAAGAGGGGGGAAAAGAAGGGGCGGAAGCGGGTGCGATCCCCGTGAGGGGCGTGCCGACATGGGCGTCGCGGCGCGCGGGCGCTGCCGTCGGGGTTCCCGCGGAAGCTGCCTGCGGCGGCCACGCCCAGTGTCACGAGTGTTCGGACAGGCGTGCTCGAGCCATTCACATTCATATACATATACACTAGGCGTAGCCAATATCGCATTCATGCAAATATACTCACTCCCACGCAGACCCATTCACACTCAGACTCTCTCGCGCTCTGGCTCACCCGCGTTCATTATTTCGTAATCTGACCTATCGTATTCCTTTGCGTTGTGTACCCCGCCATATTTCGGCATACACCTCATGCGGTTCGTGGCCCCATAGGGAGCGCCACCGAAGAAGGTACTCACAATTGCGGCACTCACAACTGCATATGGTTGGGTCTTTCACCCGGATAATTTTTCCCCGAATCCCCTCCTCACTCCTCCCCTCCTCACTTCCCCTCCTCATTTCCTCCCCTCCTCACTCCCCCTCCTCTCTTCCCCTCCTCACTTCCCTGAAAAGGCCTTCCCCTCCTCACTTCCCCCCCCCCTCGCTCGCCGCCGATAGATTGAGGGGGCGGGGCGAGGAGGCGGAGGAGGTGGTGGAGGAGGAGGAGGAGGAGGAGGAGGAGGAGGAGGAGGAGGAGGAGGAGGAGGAGGGGGAGGAGGAGGATGATGAGGAGGAGGAGGAACGAGGACGGGGAGGAGGGGGCATCGGTACTGGTGTGCGTTCTCCCTGAAGAGCCAGCACCGGCCGTGCGCCACCGAGGGCACCCACTCTCTCGGCCGGGGCGGGGCCCGCCAGAACGAGGCGCGGCCGCGGGGCCTCCTCCTCCTCCTCCTCCTCCTCCTCCTCCTCCCTCTCGTTCCTCCTCCTCTACTTGGAGGCGGCCTGGGGGAGTTCGATCGAGTTTTAGGGGGCAACTGCTGGGAGGCTTTCGTCGGAAAGATTAAGAAGGATTAGGCCCCATTTGGGAACTGTTACGCTGAAATGGGCCTCCGACTAAGCAGGATTAAGCCGGATTAAGCCGTATTAAGCGGGATTAAGCCGGATTAAGCGTGATTAAGCGGGATTGCGCCAGTTTTCGGACCAGGGCAAAAACAGAATTTGACCTCCCAGGACTTGCATCCGAACTAGTTGGAGCCCCAGAAATCCGCCTGGAGGTGGAATGCGGCCAAATATGTTCAACATTCGTCCGCAGAGCCCTCCCAAAATCCATCTGGCGCAATGTTTCACACCAGATCCGTTCTTGACGGTCCTGGGGCGCGAAAGCGGCCATTGGAGGCCGAGAAAGCTATTACCCCAGCAAAGCACCAAAATAGCAGCTAAGGTGTGGAGGCGGATTGACGCCTGAAGCGTCGGCGTGCGAAAACGACCTCATCAGATTGTCGATCCGATTGCGAAGCTCAACTTGCAGATGAGGGCGACGTTCGTGATGTCAACATAGTGACATGAGCGCGCCTGCGACAACTTTCGAGACGGAACGACCCCGCCGCTGTCAGCTGGAATGGTGAGAAGCTCATGGCCCTGCCGCACGTTCGAGACCCAGGACAACTGGAACGGTGAGCCAAGAGTGAAGGGGCCCTGGGACAGACAACCAAGTAGACACAAATAACTGGATTCCAAATCATTTCAAATATGTTATGGGTTTTCGTCTTCCCCCCACTTCTCATGTTTCCCCTCATCTTCAGGGGAATCGACAATTACTTGTGTCGGTGTGTTCTTCTCCCTCTCCTGAACCTCAGGAGAGGGGCGATCTACAGGCACGTACGCAACACACATAGGACTCGAGCCGCAGGAGAGGGGCAACTTTGAAGGAGCCCTGGGACGGACAAATACATAGACACCAACAGCAGGATTCCCTTATATGTTCCCATCTTCTGTGATTTTGTCTTCCCCCCCCCCCACTTCCCATATGTTCTCATATCTTCGGGGGAATCGACGAGTGATTGTGTCTGTGTGACTTTTTCCCTCCTGAAACTTGTAGGAACATACATAAACCACATGTGATTCGAACCTCAGGAGAGAGGCGATATAGAGGCACATACGTTACGTAAACACACACCGGATTCGAGCCACAAGAGAGGAGCACGATATACGCACTTCTGTAGACCGCATGGGACTCGTGCCACTGGGGAAGGGGCAATCGATGGGCGCACCTTGAAAACACAATAGGGATTCGAGCCACAAGAGAGGGGCAATCTACAGGCACATGCGCAGAACACTCAGGATTCGAGCCACAAGAGAGAAGGCAATCCATACGTAATTAGGCAGATACGTAAACACACAGCAGATTCAGCCTACAGAAGATGGCCAATCTACAGACACGCGTGTAAAATACCAAAAATCAAGCGACAGGAGAAAGGGATGTGAAGCCTCGGGAGGCCCGGGGCGCCTGGAGGCCAAAAAGCTAGCGATTGAGCAACGAATCGACACTGGGTTTAAGTCGGGCGTGTCCCCTTACAGGGGGATTTTCGACGAAATATAAAAAATACTCCCCAAATGCCCCAAAATTGACAAAAAAATACTCAAAACATAGTCCCCAGACTATTTGTGCACTATTTTTGAATGTTCTCCCTGTAGAGGGACAGGCCCGACTTAACACTGGATTCAAATAGGCTTCCGACGTTCCGTCCCAGGGCCCAGGGGGGGCTCGGGAGGCACGGAGGAGGGCCCTACTGCAGAGGCCAAAAGGTACACGAATCGACACCGGATACAAAGGAAGCTCCGACGTTCCGTCCCAGGGCCCGGGGAGGCCTGGGGAGACATGTAGGATTCGAGCCACAGGGAAGGCGCAATCGATAGGCGCACACGTAAAACACACATAGGATTCGAGTCGCAGGAGACAGGGCAATCCGTAGGTATATGCGAAAAACGAAAGATTCGAGCCACAGGAGAGGGGCGAGAAATAAGGCATCTCCGGACCAACTCGAACCAGAATGCTCTAGTGAGCCCTGCCAGCAGACTCCGGGCCGCCGGAACACCACAGTGAGTTCCATAGTGAGTCGCAGGTCTGGACCAAGTCGAGCGAGAACACCACAGTGAGCGCTACCTGCTGATTCTGGGCCGCGTGAGTCGCACTTCTGGACCAAATCGAGCCAGAACAGCATCGTGAGCGCCGCCGGACCGCCGCCGGGCCTGGGAGACGCCTCCCTCTGGCCCCCCGCGCTGGAGATCCTGGTGAAAGGAGAACCCTCCAGAGCGAAATTCGATCAGGGAACAAGGCCGGCCCGAACCCAAAACTTCGAACCTGCCCGCCCTTCCTGATGGCCGGAGCCGGAGCTGGGCACTCTCGGACCTCCAGAGGGCTCCAACTCTAATGGGCTTGTTCTCCACCGCCACCACCACCAGAAGTTGGAGGGGCGAGGAAGGTGGAGGACCAGGAGGAGGGGGAGGAGGAGGAGGAGGAGGAGGAGGAGGAGGAGAAGAGGAGAAGAGAGGAGCCCCCTCCCCATCCAACTTATGGTGGCGGTGGTGGAAAAACAGGCCCTTACTCTCTTCTCCTCCTCTCCTCCTCTCCTCCCTCCTGATCCTCTCCTCCTCCTCCTCCTGATCCTCCTCTTTCCTCCTCCTCCTCCAACTCCTCCTCCTCACTCCTCCTCCTCCTCCCCCTCCTCCTCTCCCTCCTCCTCCTCCGCCTCCTCCTCCTCCTCCTCCTCTCGTCGTTGCCTCCTCGTTGCCTCTCGTTGCCTCCTTCTCCTCCTCCTCCTCCTCTCCTCCTCCTCCTCCTCGGCACCTCCTCTCTCCTCCTTCTCCTCCTCGTTTCCTCCTTGTTGCCTACTCCTCCTCCTCCTCCTCCTCCTCGGCGCCTCCTCCTCCTCCGTTGCCTCCTCGTTGCCGTCCTCTCCTCCTCCTCCTCCTCCTCCTCCTCTCCCCTCCTCCCTCGGCGCCTCCTCCTCCTCCTCTCCTACTCTCCTCCTCCTCGGTGGCCTCCTCGTTGCCTCCTCCTCCTCCTCCTCTCCTCTCCTCCTCCTCCTCCTCGGTGCCTCCTCGTTGCCTCCCCATCCTCCTCCTCCTCGGCGCCTCCTCCTCCTCCTCCTCCTCCTCCTCTCCTCCTCCTGCTCCTCCTCCTTCTCCTCCCTCGTTGCCTCCTCGTTGCCTCCTCGTTGCCTCCTCCTCCTCCTCCTGCCTCCTCCTCCGGCGCCTCCTCCTCCTCGGCGATTCCTCCTCCTCCTCCTCTCCTCCTCGTTGCCACCTATTGCTTCCCTTCCCTCCTCCTCCTCCTCCTCCTCCTCCTCCTCCTCCGCCTCCTCTTCCTCCTCCTCTCTCGGCGCTCCTCCTCCTCCTCCTCGGCGCCTCCTCCTCCTCCTCCTCCTCCTCCTCCTCCTCCTCGGCACCTACCTCTGTCTCCGACGGCTGAGGGCTGGAGGCCGCAGTGGCCTGCCTCAGCGATGGCAGGCCACTGCCCAGCACAGGCCCAACGGGCGGAGGAGGAGGAGGAGGAGGAGGAGGAGGAGGAGGAGGAGGAGGAGGAGGAGGAGGATGAGGAGGAGGAGGAGGAGGAGGACGGAGGAGGAGGAGCGCGAGGAGGAGGTGGTGGAGCACTGGGCCTCCACGAGCAGCATCCTTGCCACGGGGCGCAGGGGTGCTACTGCGTCTTCTTGCCCAGGGTCTTGTGGCAGCCGATGTCCGTCGTGCCCCCTTCCGCCTCCAGACGCCAGGCGTGGGCGGCGTCGCCCTGGTGCTTGGTCACGAAGGGGTTCGGGTCGTCCGAGGCCATGGTCGCAAAGGTGTGGTTCACGTCTCGGTGGTTGGTCTCATCCGCGAACATGCACTTCAGGGCGTCGACCCACATGGCCTCCTCTGGCAGCTTCCAGTAAGCCCTCGCCAAGGCCGGCGCGGGCAAGCCTGACCAGGCCTCGTGCAGGGGCGTCCCTGGAGTCTGCACCTGGTCGATAATGTTGGCGTAGGTCAGGCACGCCGTCTCCTCGAGGTAGCCAACGAAGCGGTGAACAGTGCGGGGATGCACAATGTAGACAGCCGCCAAGAAAGGTGTCATGAAAACCTGAGCGCTCATCACGAGCAGCCGCGTCACGAGACCCGCCTTGAACATTTTCATGCACACCAGCAGGTGCATCCGCTCGTTCTCGGCCTCCTCCAGCAACGTGTGAATCCAGCCGTGGTCGCGCTTCAGGGTGCGCAGGGAGCGGAAATGGCGGAACATCGCCGCCATGAAGCCTGGCACCCCCGCGAAACTCTCCAGCACAATGAGCCTCCACTCGACGGCCTTGACCGGCGTGTTCACCGGCTTGAAGCCCGTCACCCAGTTGAAGGACCTGTACAAAGAGTACATGGCACCATGCGCGAGGCGGTCGCTGAGTGTGCGCGGCTTGTGCTGGTACAGGTTCCCCAGCTGCTTCTGGATCTCCTCCTCTGGGGGTCAACGATCGGGGGGACTGGCTCAGGGGACGAACATGGACCTCGAAGCAGCGATAAATCGCCGATAGATCGGCGATAGACCCCGATCACGAAAACCGCAAGCTCCCGGGCGGGGTGGCCATTCGAGCCCCTATGAGCCTATCCTAGGAAGCCCGACAACAGTCAGGTCGCTCAGCTCCAAGGAAGTTGCTTCAGTCGGGAGCGGCCAAGAGGGGGTGTCCAAGAGGGGGGGGTGCAACTCATGGCCGGCGGCATGTGCGCGGCCCAGCGGGGGGGCCAGGGACGTCATGACACAAAAAGAGGCACCATGAAACCTGGGGAGATACCATGGCCCCCGCCATGATATCCCCCCCCCCAAGTCATCACCCCCCTCTTTGCCGCCCCCGATTCAGTGCCACCGAAGCCAACCAAGCAATGACCCGACCAAGCGGCAGTGGAAGTGCCGCAGTGAGCCGGGTCAGTGCTCGAGCCTCCCAGGCGTGACCTGCAGGGACTCCCCGGGGCGGCCAAGAGGGGGGCGTCCAAGAGGGGGCGGCGCAACTGATGGCCGCCGGCATGTGCGCGGCCCAGGGGGGCCAGGCCAGAGACGCATTGCAATGAGAAGAGGCGCCACGAAATCTGGGGAAAAATCATGGCCCACGCCATGATATCCCTCCTCCTAGTCATCGGTCGGAAGAAGTAGGTAGAAACATGAAGTAGGAAGGCGTTGAAAATAGTTTGGGTTTCCGCCCCGCCTCCTGAAGAGGAAAGAGGGAAAACCACTCGACTCTTGAAGTAGGAAGGCGCTGAAAGTAGATTAGAATCTGGGAATCGAAAAATACCTACTTTCAACGACCGATGGGTAGCCATCACCCCCCTCCCGGCCGCCCCCCCGTGATCCCGATACCGCCCCCAGACGTTGCCCCCCTTGCCGATCGCAGCAGACCACGTGGCCAGGCTGCTGCCCCGTGAGGGGCGCCCGAGGGCGCCCCGAGGGGGCGCGCCGCCGCACGAGGAGGAGGAGGAGGGGGAGGAGGGGGAGGAGGAGGAGGAGGTGGAGGAGGAGGGGGAGGAGGAGGAGGAGGAGGAGGAGGAGGTGGGAGGAGGAGGAGGAGGAGGTGGAAGGAAGGCAGGCAGGAGGGAGGAGGAGGAGGGGGAAGGAAGGCAGGCAGGAGGGAGGAGGAGGAGAAGGAGGAGGACTCCTCACTCCAAATGTGGTTCTGCATCAAGTCCACGATCGGCTTCTCGTCCGGCGCCAAGCTCCCGGGATGGCCGGACGCGGCCGCGGCCTCCCCTCCCCCTCCCCGGGCCTCCGACGTTGTGGCCCTGCTCTAGAACACAAACATCGTGAGCGTTTTTTCATTCGGCGTTTCGACACTGGGCGGAAGGGGGGGGGGGGCACGGGGGGTGTCTGGCTCTGGACCTCTGCTTGCTGCGACTGTTTGCGACAGTGCGTCGGATGGGGGAGGCTCCACCTGCTCGAAACAGGCGCCAAAAACAGCCAATATCTACTCCACGGGGGGGATGGGGGGGTGCGAGGGATCGCGCCGATCGGCAAAACAATGAAACAAACAACGATCACATACCTTAGACGGATCTAGCCTTGCTCCGACCTTGCACCGCTCCGAACGCAACGGCCACGTCGTCCATGGACGCATCCACCCCGAACGTGCCTACTATGGACGTCACGGCACCCAGTGTGTCCATCGACGCTTTAGGCACGGAGCTAGGACGTAAGAACGGTATTTGGCATCGGCAGGAGAGCCTATAATTGAATCGATAAGCTGAATCGGCGATCGAAATGAATCGGATCGGCGGAAATCGGCAGCCAAGTCGGGAGGAGTGGAAGCGGCGGAACTCGGCAGAGTAGTGGCAGTGGGGCGTCCTGGAGACATCGGACTCCGCATCGGAGTCCGAGGTCGAACCGCATCGGCATCGGAGTTTGCCGAACTCGGCCTGGGTCGAACCGGAGCAATCGCTACGAGCCCCTGCCCGGGAGACCTATGGGATCCTATCCCCCTATGGGATCCTATCCCCCAGGGAGGGGATCCTATGGGATCCCACCCCTGGGATCCTATCCCCCCATGGGATCCCCCCCCATGAAGAGTCTCCCGACCTGCAGCGGCCCCAGGCGCCGGCCCTCCAGAGCCCGCTCGGGCCCCCCCCCCCCCCCCCAAGACTCCGACGGCCGGGCCTCTGCAGGGCCGCGGACCCCGCGAGGCCCGGCGCTGCGCCCCCCCCCCTGGCCCGCGGGGCCCGGCGGCTGCGCCCCCGAGAGGACGCGCAGCCCCGTGGCGGCAGAGCGGGCCGCCTTCTGTTTGGACACCCGAGATGGGTACCGAAAGAATGGGCACAATGCCCGACAAGAAATGCTGTCCCAAACCAACAGCGGCCGCTGTTGAACAGGCGGCCTTCTGTCTCGAATGGGCACAGGCACGGGCGGCGTGGACAGCGAGTCCTGTTCAGAATGAACAGGATCCGCTGTTGGGCATTGTACCCATTCTTTCCGTACCCATTTCGGGCGTCCAGACTCCTGGAGCCACTGGTCGGGGCGCTTCTCGGGGGGGGAGCGGCGCATGGGTGCAGCAGGGGCCCGGCCAGAAGAAGCCTGCCACAAGAAGCCCAGCCCTGAGACCCCAGGGCGTCCGTGGATGTTCGGTGTGGGAGCGTCACGCGTTGCATGGCAGAACCATCGAAACCCAAGGAACCCAGGGCACCCTGTGGAGGCAAGCAGGGTGTTTCTTGGCATGGGCCCCCACTGTAAAGGGGCCCAGGGACACACAAATAAAGAAACACAGTCCCCAGGATTCTCCATCGTTTCCTAATTATCTTTTCTGGGTTTTCATCTTCCCCCCACTTCCCATATTTGCCCATCTACTTTCCTGGGAGTCGACGATCACTTGTGTCTGTGTGTTTTTGTTCCCCTCCTGCGTGGAGGTGGGAGAGAGAAGCGTGCACCTTTCGTGCTCCAGCCATGGGGGCCCCTGGCTTCTTCGGGCACGAGAGGTGCACCTCTTCTTTTGAGGAGAAGGAAGCACGGCATAAACATTAGCGTTTGGCGCTCCGCGCGGATGTCTTGGATCGCGGATCTGCGCCGGACCCCCCCGCCCTGGCGCGCGGAGCGCGCCAGGGGCGGCGCCGGAGGAGCCGCCAGGGGGGGGGGGGCAGCGCGGATCCAAAAAAAATCCGCGCGGAACGCCACAAGAGTTTATATGCCTTCTGACGTTCTTTCTTTCTTCGACCGACAGTGCACCGTTTTTCTGCCCCCCCCCCCGCCCCTTCTGCCCCCCCCCCCCGCCCGCCCCACCCCCGTTTTTATCGCCCGAGCTGCTGAAGACCGAGGAGGGACGCCCCCCCCCCCTCCCCCCTCCCCCCCTCCCCGGTTGGAGGCCTGGGCCCGCTGGTGCGGCTTCGCCTGGAGGGGGTGCGGCAGCTTGGACTCGCGGAAGTGCGTGACGACGGGCCTCTCCTCGCAGGAAGGAGGAAAGGCGACGCCAACACCACCGGGGCGAGGAGATGCGAGGAGGCAAGGGGGGTTCTCCCTGGTGCTGTGGTCTCCCCTTCTCGTTCGAGATATCCCCCGCCTCCAGCTCCGGGAGGCATCATGGTCCTGCTCGCTGAAGGTGGGCCCCCTGGTGGTGTTGGTGTCGCTTCTCCTCTCTCCGACTCCTCGTTCAGCGACGGCGCGCCCGCGTGCCAGCGCCGCTTGACGGGCAGCAGGGGTGCGAGAGCGGATCTCGGGGAGACGCAAGACTCGGGTTCGGTTGGCGGCGAGCGAGGGGGGGGTGACTGAGAAGGGGAAGGCCTTTTCCCAGCAGGCGGCGGGGCTTCTCAGAAGCCCTCGCGCCTTCTGAGTGGTTTCTTGCGTCTTCGGGGAAGGCCCAGAAAACTTCTCAGAAGGCCGGGGGGCTTCCGAGCCTTCTGAGAAAGCCTGCTCCTTCTCACTTCCCCACCGGGCTCGCCGCTGATTCGGGGGACTCGGGTTGGCCTGGCGGGGCCATGAAAATGACGAGACCCCATCCGAAATTTTACGCGAGCTCCCGCTGCAATCATCTCACGAAAACTCGACCGTCAAAATCCAGGACGCGCTCGGCAAAAAGCGTCGGCAAACCCGAGTTCCGGCGCATTCGAGTCTTACGTTTCCCCGATGATCTAAGACATACGCGAAAGTTCCCTCAGATCTGACGTTGCCAAAACATCCAACGTCGCAAGAACTCACCACCGGAGCCCCATCCCCCAACTCTCTGCGTCGTCTTTCGAGCCGGATCGATCTGTGAGGGTCCCGGGGCCCGAAATCGAGCGAAAGTGCCCGTTGTGAAAGAATTGCGACGCCAGGATCTGAGGGTTGTCGTTGAGGGTTTGCGAGAAACCAGATCGCGCCGAGTCGCGTGGCTGTCGAGCCCTTGCGCTGCCGTCCTCGAGAGGGACAGCTCGCCAGCTCGCGGGCCGCGACAGGCCAGGCGCGATCCACTTCGCGCCCCCAGCGGGGACCCAGGAGAAGAAACCAGGAACCAAACGTGAGAGGCCAGAATTGACTTGAGGTCGCTGGGGGGCCTCCACCTCCTCCTCCTCCTCCTCCTCCACCTCCTCCTCCACCTCCTCCTCCTCCTCCACCTCCTCCTCCTCCTTCTCCCTCCCTTCCTGTTAGGGGCCAGCGGTGTTGCCAGGGCCAGATCCCAATGCGCTCGGTCGGCGCGCTTGATCTGTCAGTAGCAGTCGCTACGATCCCCACTCGCAATAAACTCGGATCTTAGGTTTGCTCTCACCGACGATTGGGCTGCTTAGGTTTGCTCTTACCCTAGTAGCATTTCCCCCTCCTCCCGTTGCCCCAGAAACACAGATCGCGTTCGCTGCACCTCAGCGAGCTTCAAGAGCTTACACGTCCAACGCCTGCGGAACTGACATCCCAGGATCTCAGCGGGCGCTGGATATGGACACATTGAGCCCCGGGGGCCCGAATCCATTCACATCCATCACCTCCCGAAGTCGGGGAAAATCGGGGTCCCAAAGATGATGCACGTTATTTATCACTGGCGCCTTCGAAAAATGATGCAGACCCCGTTTCGATTCTGCTTGACTTGTTTTCTATACGGGGACCCTGAAAGTCCCGACCCCTTCCCCAGGGCTGGGCCTGTCGGGCCCCCCGGCCCCTTAGCAGCTCCCGAGCCCAGGCCAGCGGAGGGCGGACATGCGGAATCAGCCCCATGTGACCACCGGGCCCAGGCCAGCCAGCAATGCATGGCCGACGCCTGTGGGCGCGGACCCCCGTTGCGTGAGCCCCAAACTCTCTCCCTTTCATCAGGGGACCGACCGTACTCGAATACCTATGGGGAAAAGAAATTTCGAAGATCAGAAGCACAGCTCTTGGAACAAGAGACGGCTATGTATCAACACAGCACGGTCTCCGACAGAAATGCTCCAGGAACGCTTCGCGCAGACCACACAAGATGCCACCGCTTGAGGGAGGGCCGAGCTTTCGGCTGACCCCGGCTACACTTAGGTCGGGCATGTCCTCTTACAGGCGGATTGTGGAAGAAAAACACAAGCATAGCAACAAACATACCCCAACATAGTCAAAAAGTATAGACTGTTCGTCCCCATGTTTGGACTATTCTAGTCCTCCTGTAGAGGGACATGCACAACTTTCTGAAGGGGCCCTGAGACACACACAAATAAATACACACAAATAAAAGGATTCCTCATAGTTTCCAGTATTTTCTGGGTTTTTGTCTTCCCCCCCACTTCCCATATGTTCCCATATGTTCCTGAGAATCGACGATTCATTGTGTCTGTGTGTTTCTCCCCCTCCTGACTTGCGACTGCACGCAGGAGTGCCCTTGCTGCGCGGCCTCCGGGGGGCCGCCGCCGCCGGGACTCGGTCGCTGAGGGGGCACCCCCTCGGGCCCGCACCAAGAGTCACTCCTGCGAAGGGCCCCTCTCGCTCCTTCGGCGGCGCGCGCACAAGGGGGGGGGGCAGGGGGAGGGGGAAGCGAGCGTTATCTGGTTCGGCGTTTCGACATTGAGCGGAATTCTGCTCAGCGAGACTGTGTTGAAACAGTGCTCCAATGGGGAATCCTAGAACCCAAACATATTCTAAGACCAACAGCCATGTTCTTATGACATAAATCCAATGTGTTGAAACAAGACAGTCCCAGCCAGGAATGTTCTAAAAACGTTTCGTGCAGACCATACAAGGTTCTTGAAACATGATTTGGTGGGCCTTTTGGCAAGCCCGAACGCTTCGGGCTCCTCTGAGACTCTCGGGGGCGGCGAAGAGGGGGGTGTCCAAGAGGGGGGGGTGCAAATCGTGGCGGCGGCATGTGCGCGGCCCAGGGGGGGGGGCCAGGGACGTAATGAAATACGAGGAGGCGCCATGAAATCGCAGGGATGGCCCCCGCCATGCTATCCCCCCCCCCCAGGAGTCATCCCCCCCCCTCTTTGCCGCCCTCGGGACTCGAGGGCTCCGCGCTCCCCGCGCCCCCGCGCCCAGGGACCTCTGGCCGCTGCCCGAGCGCCGGCGGCGGCGGCGGGGCCCGGCACCGAGGCGCCGCGGCCGCGCGGGCGCCCAGCGCGCCCGCCCCGGCGAGCCGCGCGCGGAGCAGCTGCGCCGCCGAGGCCGCCATTGGGCCGCCCGGGGAGGCTTACAGGCGCGGCCGAACCGACCCTCGGCTTCTCCTCCTCCTCCTCCTCCTCCTCCTCCTCCCCTCCTCCCTCCTCCTCCTCCTCCCTCCTCCTTCCTCCTCCTCCCTCCATCTCCTCCTCCCTCCACCTCCTCCTCCTCCTCCTCCTCCTTCTGCTCCCCACCCTTCCGTGACGTCATTCTCGCTGTTCCAGCTGCCCTCCGGCCGCACACATCCGTCTTAGGGGCGAGGGGGGGGCGTCACGGAAGGGGATGGTCTGCTGGGGGTCGGTTGGGCCGCCCTACAGGCTTCGGTGGCAACTCGCGGGTGATGCGGCTGAAACGCTGCGCGCCCCGCCCTGCCACAGCCCCCCCTGACTGGGTAGTCGAAGCCAATCTGGCGCCAATCTGGCAGGCCCAATCGGGCAAACGGGGGCAATCTGGCGAGGGAGCCCACGCGAATCCAGTCTGGCGAATAACCCAAATCATCCAGGTTGGCCGGGCCAGATTGGCCCTTGGGGCCCAATCCAATCTGACAGTCTGGCCTTCGACTACCCAGTGAAACGCTGCGCGCCCCGCCCAGACACAGCCCCCCCTGAGAGCCTGGTGTCTCAAATTGTTCGCCTTTGTTCGGGCCTCGGGACCCTCACAAGCCGGTCCGGCTCGAGAAAGGACGCCGAATGGTGGGGTCTAGGGTTCCGCGCGTGATTTTTCACTGTGTTGCATGTTTCTTTGATACGTCGGATCCCAGGGCTTGGGATCGGCGCAGGGCTTGCTGAGGGGGCAGGGGGACTGTCCACGGATGTCAAAGTGGGCCTTCCTATAGAGCCCACGAAAACGTCCGAAGACCTGCGGAAGCTTGTGCAAACCAACGCCCGCGCCGATCCCTGCACCCTCGGGGATCTACTCTCTCGGGTGAATCCAAACCCGGGTCGGCTAGGCGCAACTCGCGGGAGGCATGCGCTTCGGTGGCCGCCGGGACGCCAAGGGCCGCCCATGGGCCGCACGGGCCTTGTGAATATGCGGTCAACCCGTACAGTAAAGCGCGCGATAGGGATGCAACGGACACATCTGCGGGAGGGGCGCGGCCAGCCGAAAGGGAAGGATGCAACGGCAACCTTGAAGAACTACTCATCCTTACTCTGCGGGTCGACTGCACCCTTTCAGTTCCGCTCGTGGAGTGGACCAACACCTGCTAGCGTCTCACAGTCGATTGGATAGCGCCGAGGTAGCGTCAATTAGCGTCAACTCGCGCAAGCCAGCAAAATGGCGTCGAAGCCGAACGACAAGAAACTGCACACGCACACACACACACACACACACCACACAAGCACACACACAAGCACACACACACACAAACACGCACGCACGCACGCACGCACGCACGCACGCACGCCCGCCCGCCCGCCCGCCCGCCGCCCGCCCGCCCCCGCCGCACGCACACGCACGAACACGAACACGAACACGAACACGAACACGAACACGAACACGAACACGAACACACGAACACGACACGAACACGCACGCACGCACGCACGCACGCACGCACGCACGCACGCACGCACGCACGCACGCACGCACGCACGCACGCACGCACGCACGCACGCACGCACGCACGCACGCACGCACGCACGCACGCACGCACGCACGCACGCACGCACGCACGCACGCACGCACGCACGCACGCACGCACGCACGCACGCACGCACGCACGCACGCACGCACGCACGCACGCACGCACGCACGCACGCACGCACGCACGCACGCACGCACGCACGCACGCACGCACGCACGCACGCACGCACGCACGCACGCACGCACACGTTGATACGGATCGGCGCGGGTTTTTTGGATCGGCGGCGGGCCCCCCTGGCGCGCTACTCGCGAAGGGAGGGTGGTTCAGCGCCGATCCTAAAATCCGCGCGAATCTCCAACATTTTTGACCCGCCCGACAGGTAGGAATCGCTAGATTACAAAAACTGACCCTCGGACCCGCCCATCCTACTACCACGGACAGGATTTGTAGGTCCACTGAGAAGCTGAATTGCCCCCCCAAACCTGCACGTGAATGCGGCTTCCCCGTAAAATCTGAAGGATGTGAATCGGACGCGCCCTCTCACGACGAAGCGCCAAGGGGCATTGTACCGGCTTTTGCGCAAAACGCGCATGCGAAAATGACGACGACGACGACAACGACGACGACAGCAACAACGATAAGCGACAGCGACGACGACCAGCTCGAGACAGCCTGCCTGCGCGCGCCACAACCGCACGGGTGCTGCAGCGTGCGGGGGCACCGCGCAACGCGCCACCAGCGCGCCGAGGTTGCGCGACATTCCTCCCCCCTGCAGGAGAGCGGCGGTACCCGTCGAGAATATGACCAGTCCCCGACGATTGGACGACATATCGAATGTGACAGGTGTCATGACGTCACGCCGGCCCGTCGAGAACACAACATCATACAATATCACATACTAGCACCTGACGGAATATGACACAGTTGAAGACGGTACGGTACAGAAGCGGCAGATCAACTGCGCCCTGTCGAACGCAGCAGCCACGCCGACGTAGTGCTGGCCACAGGATAAGCACAGGCACAGCAACGATCGATTAGACGTCATGCCGCCCCGTTGAGAGCAGAACATGACAACGTGTGCATGTATATAGTACGTGATATAGTAAAATGCAGCAGTGGCTATATAATGGCGTTTTATGAAACGCAACATGCGCGCCGAGCAAGAAAGCAAACAGTTCCAGACACACCCGCAAGCAGTTCCAGACACGCGAACAAACGCCAAAGGTTTCGGCTCGCTCAAAGCAGCATCATGTTCACGCATTCTTTTTTTGGTTCTACAACTCCCATCGTATATTGGCTCTTGCGAATCGCCGCTGCTGGACGCTAATCGACGCTAACTGGCACTAATCGACGTTGCATCGGCGCTCTCCGATCGATTGCGAGACGCTAACCGACGCTAGTGCGCTCTAAGGAACTACGAGGGCATCCGAAGCTCCCATGACTTGCGACAGAAGGAGGCGCCAGGCTGGGGGGTGGGCAGAGAGAGGGGCAGCGCAACGAGCGGCGGACCCGCCGGAGCTGGGACGGAACCGAGCACGCAAAAAGGCTGCGGGTATCCCCCCTAGGCGGGGCGGGGATATGGCCCATTCCCTTCGGGCTTCGAGGTGCCTGTCCCCACCTTTGGAGGTGAGATGGCGGGGCTGAGATACCATGACCCGGTAAGGATGGGGACGGTTGATACGAGGCTGACGCCAGGATCGGACGTTGCTCAAAGTGCTCCTGGCCCAGAAAGCCCCCCAGGCGTTCCGCTCCACTTCTGGAACCCCACATGGCCCCCCTTGCAGGAGAGCCCAGCAGCGAATCGACAAGTCGGATCGGCGATCGACATGGATCGGATCGGCGGAAGTCGGCGGCCGAGTCGGGAAAAGTCGAATCGGCAGAAATCGGCAGGCTAGTAGGCCGCCATTGAGAAATCGGAGCCCATATCGGAATCCGAATTCGAATCGAATTGGAATCGGAGGCCATCGAACTTGAATGGAATCGATTCGGAGGAGTCGAAACGAGCCCTGTGAGGGGGCGCTCTGGAGGCCGTGGGGGCCTCCCTGGGAATCCTGGGAGGCACCTCATCGGGCCAGGGACACCACTGGCAACACCTGGCCACCACCACCACCGCGAAGCCACGCCTCCGGCAGGTCGCGCAGGCAGACGAGCACGGCTGGCAACTCTTCGTGAGAGAGGAAACACGGCGCATGAGAGGCGCGGCAGAAATTTATCGCGTGAGCACGCCAGGTGGAGGGGAGGGGGAGGAGGAGGAGGAGGAGGAGGAGGAGGAGGAGGAGGAGGAGAAGGAGGAGGAGGAGGAGAAGGAGGAGGACGACGAGGAGGAGGAGAAGGAGGAGGAGGTGGGGAGGAGGAGGAGCGCAGGGGCGCGAGCGCGCCCGCGCTCGGCGAGCGGGGGGCGCCTCGGGCTCCGCGGCCTCGACCGCGGAGAGGTCCCGCACGAGGTTCGCCAGGCCGTTCGGCGAGAACTCCTGGGCGCCCCCGCTCGGCCGCCGCGGGGCGCCGCCGCGGGGCGCCGCCGCTCGGCGCCGCCGCTGGGCCGCCGGCCGCCGCCAGGCGGCGGCGGCGCCGTCGGCGGTCCCTCGGCGTCGTCCGTCGGCGGCATCGTCGGCGTCGTCGTCGGCGGCCGTCGCTCGCCGTGGTCGTCGCGGGCGTCGTCGGCGTCGCCAGCATCGACGTCGACGTCCGTCGCCGTCCGTCGGCATCGTCGCAGGCTGGCGGCGTCACTGGGCGCGGCGCCGGGGGCGTCTCAAGGTGCCCTCTGGGGTCACGGCGAGGCTGGCCAGGAGTTGCGGGCGCGAACTCCTCGGGCGCTCCCTGGCCGCCGCTCGGCGGGGAGCAGTGGAGGCGCTCCAACTGCAGACTGCAGGAAGTCAGGCCGCATGGGAGTTGGGCAGTTGTCGCGCTCTCTGGAGGTCGGGGTCTAAGGGACACACGCAAACAAATCCACACGAATCCCAGGATTCCCCATATCTGCTCATATGCTCTGGAGGTGCGTCTCCCCCCCCCGCACTTCCCAGTTGTTCCCCTGGTACCCTAAGGATAAGGATCGACATTGACTTGTGTCAGTTTCTTGGCTCTCTGGCCACGCAACGGCGAAGGATAGGGCGACCACCCCGGACGGAAACCTCCGAGCCAGCGGGGGTCCGGAGGGCGTCCCGGGGCGCCCTCGGCGCCGTCCCAGCGCGCGCGCGTGGGGACGCCCCGAGAGATCTGTCGGCGACGCTCCGGAGCGACCTGTCGACAGTGCCTGGCGTGAGGGGCCTGTTTTCCACCACCACCACCAGAAGTTGGAGAGGGGAAGGATGTGGAGGACGAACAGGATGACGAAGAGGAGGAGGACGACGAGAAGGAGGAGGAGGAGGAGGACCCCCATCCCCCTCCAACCAACTTATGGTGGTGGTGGTGGTGGAGAACGGGCCCATCATGGCGTGCGCAGGCCCACCGTCTGTCAAGCACGATGCCAATGCTCTTTTGAGCAAAAAGGCTCGGACCACGTGCGGGGGACCCCGCGATCCCCCCTGCACTCTCGTTATGTGTCGTTGACCAGGCTGGTTGGGGTGCCCCCGTATGCCCTGGAGAGGGCAGACCCACCAGCCCTGTCAAACATACACGCACCGTGATTGCGGGTGCGCACACTCCATATACCATGCACACCGCCCTAACTTTGCACTTGCTTCTCAAAAGAGATGTTGGGGGCCGACGTGTCTCCCGATGTGTGGCCACGTGTGCAGGCGCGCCTGGCACTGAGCCTCGGGTGCTGCATATGTGGTGGGAGGGCGTGTGGGAGTGAGCGAGACGGCTTGCGGCCGTCCTTCGGGATACTGCGACTAGCAATTCAAGGACCCCTCCCCTTTGAGGGCGGGCCGAAGTTAACCAGGCCCAGAACATCAGGGATGGGAGGCCTTCCCAGCAGATGTATCAAACCAAGTCACCTAGATGTCCTTTCCCTAGTGCAGAGACGGGGACGTAAGCCAGGATACGTTTATTTTGTTATCAGGGTTAGGGTTTTTGTTATTCTCGATCACTAATGACTTGAACCCTCCCCCTACACTCTACACCCCCCTACCTGTGCCTTTGACGACGGGGGCCTGGAGCGGTCAGAACGCCCTAGATGGCTTCAAGATGGCTGGCCGAGGCAGCCCACGATGGCCTCCAACATGACCCACACACAACGCAAGATCGCTGAGAATTGCTTCCCACATGCTCCGAGGGGCTCCAAGACCGCCCCAAGACTGCTCCAAGTGGCCACGGAGCCTCCCAAGGACGCCCATGAGAGGCTAACATCCGATCAAAGCCTAAGGAAGATAGATGAGGATTTCTGAGCTTGAAGGCGAGAAACCTTCATGGGCATAACATGTTCGAGCTCCGCGCGGGTTTCATGGATCGGCGCTCGGAGCACGTCAGGTGAGGCGCCAGAGGCGCCGCCGAGGGGGGCCCCCTTCCCTGGCGCGCGGAGCGCGCCAAGGGCGGCGCCAGAGACGCCGCCAGGGGGCCCCAGCGCAGATCCAAGCAATCCGCGCGGAGCGCTCAACGTTTGTGTTTATGTCGTGTTTCTTCTTTGAAGGCGGCTGCCACGCAGCTCCCAGATCGAGAGATCCAAACGGCATTTGCTGTTGCCTCCTGGGTCTGCTCAATGTGACCCCGAGCCTGCGGTTTGACGGCTGGCTCCCCGCCGTACTCGTCTGCTGGTTCACGCCTCCCTGGCCAGTGCAAACTCACCTGGGTGTTTTCTCTGGACGGGCCATTGTGAGGATACGTGAGGCGCCAAGCTTGCCCCCTCATCACTGACGGCACGATGCCCAGGAAGGTAGAGCGCAAACTGTTCCGCCGCTGGGGACGCCTGCCCCCCCGGGTGGCTGAAACAGGTATACCCCTACGGTGCCATGCAGGGGCAAGCACTTCCCAGCCGCCCAGGGGGCAAGCGCTCCAGACGGCGGAAAAGTTTACTTTACACCGTTCTTTGCCCGCAAACTCACCCCTCTCTTAAGTAGGGGCAAACACTTTCCAGTTGCCCAGGGGGCAACTGTTCCCGACGGCGGAAACATTTACTTTACACCGTTCCTTGCCCGCTAACTCACCCCTCTCGTTTCCTCCCCCCCCTTGCGCCGCCGTGCGGCACAGGCTGCCCGGCTGCCCGCTGAGCTGGCGGCACAGCGGAGCACGGCCACGGCAGGCCCTCCGTCTCCCGCTCCCTGCCGCTGCGCGGGATGGCACGGCGACCCTGCGCAATTGGCTCGCGCGGGCCGCCGGCGAAACACGCCATGCTGGAGACGAGGGCGCTTACGCGCGACCTTGCGCGGGCAGCTTACGCGCCATTGTCGGCCAGGCGAGCCCCTTTTTTTCTGCGTCGCTAACCTGGCACGTGGCGCCGTCCCAGACATGAGACGTCCCGATGTTTTCGGGACGGCGCCCCCGGAAGTCCGGACCCTTTCCCCGGGGCCGGTTATTCATCCTGAGTTGTTTTTTGACGGTCCCAAGATCCGGTAAAGGCCCCCAGGGGCCGAAAATGGCGAAATACTTGCCGCCCTGTTTTTTTTACGGCGCGATCATGTCTGGGGTGGGCCGTCCAGGGCAGGACCGCGCTCTGGCAGCCTGGCAGCCGCGAGACCCGAGGCTGGCTCCCGGCCGACGGCGACGCCCGGGGGGGGCTCCGGGCACCGACGCAGCGCCACCATATGGTCTCGATGTGGATGGAACCAGCGCCACTGGCGGCATGGAACGCATCTCCAGAGTGCTGTCCTGCATAAGCAGGACCACGTTGAAGAAGAAGAAGAACAATAATAATAATCATAATAATAATAATAATGAATAAATAATAATAATAATCATAATAATAAAAATAATCATCATCATCATCATCATCATCATAATAATAATAATATTAATATCAATAATAATAATAGTAAAAATAGCAATAAAAATAATAATAATAATAACAACAAACAAAACGACATAAACATAAACATTTGGCGCTCCGCGCGGACTTCTTGGATCCGCGCTGGACCCCCCTCCCTGGCGCGCGGAGCGCGCCAGGAGCGGCGCCAAAAACGCCGCCCGGGGGTTCCAGCGTGGATCCAAGAAATCCGCGCGGAGCGCCAAAAGTTATGTTTATGTATTTTTTGTTTCTTCGGCTACTGGCGATGCCATCGCCGGAAGTTGCCGCAATTGCTAGGACTAGCGTTGGTCGGGCTGACCGGTGAGTCTGCCAAACTGCATGTATGCAAATTGCCAGGGCTACCACTGCCCCAGGCCGTGGAACCTGGGCAGACGACCTGCTGCGAGGAGCAACCAAGTCTTGACGAATCCAGGAATGACTGCTCATACGAGCCCATGCTGCGTCTTGTTGAAGGCGTACAGGCACTAAAGTCAGACATACCGATCCTGCTGGTTGGCGCCGGACGGCGTCCTGCGAGCAGGAGCCCATGGAGCTGCCACTGCTGTGCTGCCCCCCACCGCTCGGTGCAGGTTTCTTCGCCAGGCTGCGAGCTGCCTGTCGAAAAGAGGCGTTCCGAGGTACGCTCCGCCAGGTCAGGAGTCCTAGGCCGGCTCTCCGCGCCCCGGGCGCGGTTATACTCCTAAGGTTAGGTCGGGCATGTCCCCCTACAGGCGGATTTTGGGCGAAAGTTAGAAAATTGTCAAACCAGATTCAGAAATATTCAGAAATGCTAGAAAAATCGTCCCCTGACTATGTCTTGACTATTTTTGAATACTCCTCCTGTAGAGGAACGTGCCCTACTTAATCCTATGGGAATGAGCAACGGCGTGAGCATAAAATCTCGGAGAGGTCCGCGCGGACTGCTCGGACCGGCCTTTGACCCCCCCCTCCCTGGCGCGCGGAGAGCGCGCCAGGGGCGGAGGCGCCGCCCGGGAGCCCCAGCGCCGATCCGAAAGTCCGCGCGGACCTCGGAGTTCCTGTGTTTATGCCATTGCTTGCCCCTCGAACTCCAGCCGCGACCTGCCGGTGCCTATCTGCCGGAGGCGGGCGTTGGGGAAACCAGAAGGTACAGATGCCGCTATACTCCCCGGACCTTTTCCGGGGTGCGCTCTGACCAGTACTCCGAGGCGCATCCAGCGGCGTGGGCGACGAGGGCCTCCGGGGAGGCACCCAAAGGCGAAAACAGGGCGATGGGTAGGGGTACCTTTTCCTCCTCCGACGACGATATGCCGGAAGCGCGCCACCCAGGGGGGGGGCGGGTTCAGCGCAGGCACCCTGCGTGGCGGAGTCGGGACGGATTGCAAGAAGGGCAACGGGAGGACACGTGAGGGCAGCCGGAGCTCCATACTGAAAGGGGCCCTGGGACACACGCACACACATACATACACACACACATGGACCCGAGCTGGAGCTCATGGACCCGAGCTGGAGCTCATCATTTTCGCCGGCGACTGGACTGGCAAGTACCGACTGGATTTACTGAAACACAAACACACAAATACCACACATCGACTGTTCCTCTCTGGACCTTTGAAGCTCTCGACCCGCTGTCCCGTGCAAGCACAGTGGTATCATATTGTAGCTGACGAATCCGCGAGGGGCGCACGATGAAAAAAGAGGTTACCCTGCTCGGGCGAATCGCGGGGGCGGCGCCCGCCAAATTGAGGCGCGCGGCGGCGGCGGCGCCAATGATGAACGCCGACGACCGGCAGCCAGCGAGAAGGCAACGGAAACAGCACTGACTGGGGGAGGGGTGGGAGGCGGGGGGCGGGAGGCAAAGGCGGCAGAAGCAGGGACCGTTGGCGCCACCACCGCCGCTTTATTTCCCTGTTTCGCAGTCGAGCAAAACTCCCGCCACCGCGTTTCGTCATCCTCCTCCTCGTTCCCCTCCCTCCTCCTCCTCCCCCTCCTCCTCCTCCTCCTCCTCCTCCTCCTCCTCCTCCTCCTCCTCGCTCATGCCGTTTGCCGTCATTCACGGCGCGGTGGTTTCCCGAGCTGTCCGAGCCTTGGCGCGCGTGATCCCAAGAAGGCTTCGCGCACCGCGGGAACCATTCATCAGCCCCGGGGGGAAGGGGCATCATTTGTTAATCACAATCTGCCATTATCGGACTGGGCGAAAGGGGGGGATAGCAAAGGGGGGTTGAGAACCAGCCCACGCAGCTGATTTTCCCGGCGCCTCCCGGCGCCGGAGGCGGCCATGCATGGCCGCCTCCTCGATACATGTATCCAGGGATGGGCCCCTCGGTGGGGCCGAAACCAGCTGCATGCAGCAGATTTCGTGACCCCCCCCTTTCCATATCCCCCCCCCCCTTTCGTCCGGCCAGACATTGAGCGGGGTGGCAGCATCGCCACGACAAGGCGGCATGCGCTGCAACTCCCCTCCCCGCTGATCTTGCCATGGCCCTCCTCAGGCCCCCTTCCCCCCAACTCAGCCTTGGACTTGCTGGACAAGCAGGCTAGCGGCTCGATCAGATGCATACAGTGGAGGCCCGACCACAAGAAACCTTCCACAAGAAACCCAACCCTGAGACCCGAGGATGAGCAATGATGTTTGGTGTGGGGGCGTCACACTTTCCACGGCAAAACCATCGACACCCAAGAAACCCTGGGCACCCTGGAGGCAAGCAGGGTGTTTCTTGGCATGAGCCCCCTCTGCAGGGGAGGCGTGGCGGGGGAGGCCACAGGGCGTGGCGCCCAGCCGAGAAGGTGAACGACTTCTTATCCGGCGGTTTGACATTGGGCGGAAGGGAGGCGGCAGGGGGGAGCGGATCTGGCCCCGGACCTCTGCTCACGCACGACTGCGTGCAGCAGCGCGTCCTATGGGGGAGACTCCGCCTGCTCGAGACAGGCGCCAAACACAGCCAAGATCTACTCCATGGGAGGGGGCGGGACGGGGTGCGAGGGCCCGCGCCGATCGGCACAACAGCGAATAAGAAAACGACGACCAGCGGGCGCGGGTGCTTGGACCAAGGCAGGGGCGCCCGCGCCGCCCTCCTCCGCCCACCACCTTGACCCGGCTGCCCGACTTCGGGCCTCGCCTGGCCCATGCACGCCCCAGCTGCCAGAGGTAGGCCCCGCCCGACCCGATCCCAAACTGTCGGACTCGCTCTCCACCGAGCCGGACCCGGCCGCCACGTGAAGCCCCGCCCGCCCCGCGGCCAAGGGAAGGGCCGTGTGTGATCGACAGCTGCAGCAACACCTCATCCTCCTCCTGCTCTTCTTCCCTCTCACCCTCGGCCGCTCCTCCCCCGTCCTCCTGTGCCCCCCCCTCCCACCCCCTCGTCGCTCTCTTCCCCCCTCCCACTCCGTGGGAAACACACGGACCGCCGACAACTATGTACGGAACCGAACTCTATACGCCGACGTTTTTCCGGCCCTGCACTAAGATTTGCAAACAGGAGAGTGGATCCTGGTGTAAACGGCATCCTTGTGTATACATTGTCCGTTGCTTCCCCGGAGATCTGCAAACAGGAAAGTGGATCCTGGTGTAAACGGCATCCTTGTGTATACATTGTCCGTTGCTTCCCCGGGAACGGGATGCAAACAAACATACGCTACACCACCGCGGCGTCGTTCCCGACCCTTTACAAGTTCTGGGATTGAAAAACGGCCCGCCACTGGTAGTGTATATGCTCCAGTTTCCGACCATGCAACCTCGACCGCGCCGACGACCACGGTGCAAGCGCCAGCAGCGGTGAGGGGCGCTCCCGCACGCCGTCCACGCAGCAGCGGAATGCCGCGCGGAAGAAGGCGTCGTCACTGGGGCACACCTTCGCGCGCGAGCTGCGCACGGGGGGGGGCAGGGGCGGCGGCGAGCGCCAAACCGACAGGGAGAGCCTTCGGGGCGCCTGGGGCCTCGCGGCGGCAGCGTCTGGCCGGCGAGACGTCAGCTCCGTCGTCGTCGTCGCCGCCGCCCTCGTCGAAACAGGCCCGCCTGGAGACCGCTCGCCCAGAAGCCCGCTCGCCCAGAGACCGCTCGCCCCGCGACCGCTCGCCAAGAAACCCGCACGCCCGAAGCCCGCTCACTGGTAAGCCCTGTGTCTCGGGGAAGAGTCTGTGATGGAGACGGAGCTTTGGGAGTAGTGGGGTGCGTGTGGCTGTGGAGTCCTGTGCATTGTGATGGACGCGGAGTCTGTGAGTGGTGGGGTGTGCTCGACACGGAGGGTTTGGAGCAGTGGGTGTGGTGTTGGAGAAGCGGGCGGTGGGCGGCGGGCGGGCTCGGGCAGTCACGCAACTCCAAGAGCCGCCTTGGAGACGGAGGCTGTGGAGCACCGGGGCGTGTTGTAGACGGAGGCTGTAGAACACTGGAGATGGAGGCTGGGGTGTGCGTGCCCGCGTCCCCTATGCAAATCCCAAGAAGACCGCCTTGGAGACGGAGGCTGTGGAGCCCTGGGCGTGTGCTGGGGACGGAAGCTGTGGAGTACTGGGAGTTGCTTTGGAGACGGAGGCTATGGAGCACTGGGGTGTGATTGGAGAGGCGGGCGGGGCGGGCGGGGCGGGCGGGGCGGGCGGCGAGCGTCGGCGGCGGGCGGCGGGCGGGCTCGGGTTTTGAATGCAACTCCTAGGGAACCCACCTTGGAGACGGAGGCTGTTGAGTCCTGGGGTGTCCTGGGGACGGGGGATTTGGAGTAGAGGGTGCTGTTTTAAAGGCGGGGGCTGCGGAGTTCCTTTGGAGAAGGAGGCTGTGCAGTACTAGGTGCTGTTTAAGAGACGCAGGCAGAACGGGCAAGGCAGGCGGCGGGCGGCGGCGGCGACGGCCGGTGAGCTCGTTTTTTTTGTTGGAGTTTAGTTTTCTCTCCCCCCTTTTTTCAACTCACAAAGAAGCCGCTCTGGAGACAAATACTGTAGAGAACTGGGGCGTGTATTGGAGACGGATGCCGTGAAGTAGCCGGGTGTTTGTAGGAGACAAAGGCTGTGGAGTACTAGGGGCTTGCGTTGGAGACGGAGGCCGTGAAGGGCGGGCTCGGGTCATGACTGCATAGAGAACCACGACACGGATCACGAACGCGAAGATAATGAGCGCGGCAATAGCAGGAGCGATACGGATTCGAGAAATAGAATGAGGGGGGACGGGATGATGAGCCCTTTGGTCACAGAAGGACTCTGTAAATTGATGAGATTGACCCTTCTGTCACAGAGGGGCAACATTGTCACTGAAGTTTACGGCTTTTGGATTAACCAACGTGGGCTCATGTCGTAACGCTTCGGAACACAGGAACTCGATGGAGAGCGGGGGCTGATGCTTTCGACCTTCATCTCAGGGCTCTTCGAATGCGGTATCTGTTGGGGTATTCGCGCTTCTCTCTTGTCCTGCTTATTCACTATCCTGCTTGGTCCTGAACTGGCGCCCATCGGTTCAACTGGCGTGCCACCGACCGTGGTGATAAAGGTAGCGAGACAGGGAAGTCTGGAAGAAAGCTTAATGTCGCACGAGGGCTCAAAGTAACGATCGCAGGTGTGAAAGGTCGCTGTTGGCCAAGGGCCTTGAGCCAGACCTCACAGCTGCAACCAATAGAAGAAGGAACAATACTATCATGATAAACTGATGGCGCTCCGCGCGGATTTCTTGGGCTCGCGCGGAGCGCGCCAGTGGCAGCGCCAGAGGCGCCGCCAGGGTGGCCCAGGGCGGCTCCAAGAAATCCGCGCAGAGCGCCAGGCGTTTATGTTTACTGTGATTTCTCTTCTTCGGACCAAGCTCTAGCCGCCGAGGCCCCGGGGATAGACCTCGAGCCAGAAGATGGCTACGGACAGGGCGCGCCTGTCCTGGGGTGCGCTTGGCCTCCCCTGGCGCAGGCTGAATCTGCATCTCTTCATGCCTATCGCCCTCAGTACCCCATCCCTCAGGGCCCCATCTCTGAACCACTGGACAGGGACGACCGTTGCCGACGACGAGCGGCGGCGTCTTGTGGTCGCCACTCTGGAGGTCCTGGTTCAGGCCTGCGGAGTCGACCCCGCCTACAGTCAAGGAGCTGCCAAGACGAGCAGCTCGGATTCAGAAGAGGCTCGCAGCTCTTTGGGTCCTTCCATGACGGTTCTTCTAGCGTCTGGCGCTCCTCGTGTACCCAGGCGCTCCGACAAAGATTCGTTCCTGGCTGCGCGTTCGATTTGGTAGCAGCTTGACTGCCCCCTGCCAGCGTCTCGAGGCAAACCCCTAGCCGCGGCCACAAGACACTCCGAAAACATAGGATAGACTTCAAAATGCCTCGCAAGGGTCCTCCTCCGAGTTCGACCGCGGCCACGAGGAACCCCGCAGACACCCTCAGACATCCGAAAACCTCGCAGGGGTCCTCCACCGAGTCTGGCCGCGTGCGCGAGGAGCCCCGAAGTCACCCGGAACGAGTCGCAAGACATCTTGGACGGGGACCTGCTCCATGGACCTCTCCGCGACGCTCCGAGCGGAAAGGGGGGCGCCCGGGGACGCCGCCGCGACGACGGCGGACAGCTGCCGAGGACAGACGCCGACGACGGCGCCGCCGGCGCCGACGACGAAGGCCGACGCGAACACCCACTGACGGACGCCGACGACGACGTCAAAGCGGAGGCGGACGCTTCGGCTGCACGTAAGAGTGACCTGGGCAAGAGTGACCTTTGGTGCGCGGCTTTTTGGGGGGCGCGAGGAGGCCAAACACAAGCGCGCAAGACGCTACTATCGCACCGAGCGCGGCGATCGGAGGACCCCAGTGAGCGCGCACCAAAGGTCACTCCGGCGAAGGGAAACTCTTACGTGTAGTCGAACGCTGAAGGCGACGGGCGCCGGAGCGGAAGCGGACGCCAGCGCAGAGGGCGAGGGCGGAGGCCGACCCCGAACGGCGACGACGGCGGGCGCCAGCGACGCCTCCGACGCCGAGGCTTAGGTCGGGCGTCCCCCTGCGGGGGGATTTCGGACGAAAAATGAAAATGCACCAAGAATGCCCCCAAATTGTCAAAAATACTCACAGAAATACAGTCCCCAGGCTTAAGTCGGGCGTGTCCCCCTACGGGGGGATATTCGGACGAAAAATAAAAATGCACCAAGAATGCCCCCAAATTGTCAAAAATACTCACCGAAATACAGTCCCCAGACTATTTTTTCAAACTATGTTTGGATATCCCCCCTGTAGAAGGACAAGCCCGCCTTTAAAGCCGAGGCCGAGGACGCAGGACGCCAACGCCGACGTCCTCGGCGCTCGTCGTCTGCGTCCGCCGCGCTGCGTTCGGGGATCGTCTGACCCGGGTCAACCCAGACCCGGGTCAGCAGGAAACCAAAAAAAATGCAATGCAATAACAAAAAACTGCAACTCAGGTCTTCGCAAACCCGGGTCAGCCAATAGGCGCGGCCGCCTCGCGGCCACGAGCGGCTCGCTGACCCAGGTCAGCCAAAGGGGGTCTTCGCAAGATCCTCCAGGATCAGGTGCCCTGGCTGACCCCCGTCTGCACTGACCCCCGTCTCTTAGGCTCCGATGCTTGGGCGTGGCTTAACGGGGGGTCATAGATGGAGGGGGTCAGAAACGGTCCCCTTTCCTGCCCCTTTCGGGCCCCTCCGGAGCCCCAGGGGGCTCGTTTAGGTACCGTTTGGGTACCTTTTCGGACCACCCTCGCCACCCCCCCATTTATGATCCCCCCATTACGTGACGCATAAAATGCGTCGGCGTCCGCCGCCGCCGCCGCCGGCGCGACGCCGCCGTCGGTGTGGTCTTCGTCGGCGCCCGGAGGGCGGCCGCCTTGGAGGCCGCCCAGATGACCGCGGACAGCTCCTGCGGCTTGTGCCTCGGGAGCTGCCGCCCGGCGGCCTGGCCGCGTTCCGGCGCGCCCTCGAGCGCTCATCGCCGCCGCCACTGCCGTCCTTGGCGCCGGCGCCGTCGCCGCTGCCACCATGGCTGCCGCCGTCGTCGTCGTCGTCGTCGTCGTCGTCGTCGTCGTCTTGGTCGTGCGCGGCGTCGTCGTCGTGATCGTCTGCGTCGACGTTGTCCCCCTCGATCTCCTCCTCCTCCTGCATTCTAGCTCCCCTCACCGTTCTCCACAATTGCACAATGTGAATATCGGCGGAGGACAAACCTCTCTTTAGTAGACCACCCTTTTCGTGAAAACGGCCTAAGACCGAAACCGACGGACCTCCGCAAAAATGACG